GGGGGGGGGTGTTGAAGAAAGACTGTAAAACTAGTGTACTAAAGCATCCAGTTCCCTTGTGGATGGGATGCTCTTCTTAGATAACACCAGCTATTCCATTACAAGGCCATAAGTGGTGTTGAACCAAGGTCTGAATCCTTTGGTTTTTTTTGGAAAAATGAAGCGGTGAACGTCTTTTCTGCAAACCTAGGACTCACGGTGAGAATGCTTGCCAAACAGTTTCAGGAGTGAGGGAAGAATATTAACTGCATGATGGCCAGACGTGGAAATCAACTCAGGCTCCTTAAACAGGTTTAAGAGACTTTGGGCTTTTGTGTACAAAATTTAGTTCATTGTGTATTTTCTGAAAATCTCTTACCTTTCTTGCACTTTCTGCTATTGAAATGGTCTTTCTCTCCCCACAGATAGGGGTATGGGGCCCAATCCTAGCATGGGAGATAATACACACATTTGAAACTCTGCTCCATCTTTACACACCTAAATTCAGAGGGTTCTGTGAAACTGGACAACAACACATTTTTTAAATTGCTTCTGAGCCCTTTAAATGCAAATCTTTTCTCTGAACTGAAAAGACTGTAACTGAATCTTTATCCAATTTGCATGCTTACCGAAAGCAGCTGAGCAATTGATCATGAAAAAATGTAAAATAACATAAATATTAAATTATTTACCATGAGATTTCTTCCTCTAGGATAAATAGGTGAGTATGTGCTAATAACAGCTAGTTGGCATTGGCATTGCCCTGCAGACCGACGGCTTTCAAGAGCCCATGAAAAGCTGAGTAAAAATTGTGAGCTCTTGAGTTGCTATGTCCACATTCTTTACTCTCCTTTTTCTAACAATTGCAGTAATTGGATCCATGGCAGGACTTCTAGGAAATGGAACTATCTTGGCTGTCAGTTCAATTAGCTGCATCAGGAGCAAAATATTGTCACATTTTGACATGATTATGATCTTCCTGAGTTTATCCAGATTCTTTTTGCAGGCTTGGATGATGCTGGATTTGTTCCTGAGTTTGTTTTGCAAGACATACTATTATGAAGAAAATTTTCTTGTAACTTCCAGGACAGTTTTTGTGTTTCTGAACTACTCCAGCCTCTGGTTTTCTGCCTGGCTTAGTGTCTTCTATTGTACCAAGGTTGCTAATTTTACTCAGTCTTTGTTCTTCTGGCTGAAGCAAAGAATTTCCAGTCTCATGCCCTGGATGCTGATAACATCAACTCTTTTCTCCCTTGCAACCTCTCTTCCTTTCTCCTGGGATGTCTACAACGTATACAACAACTTCACTTCTCCTGTAAACACAACAAACTCTTCAGAAATGAGAGTCACAATGAAAGCTAGTCTGTTTTCTTTCGTTCTTCTGTGCAACACTGGTACAGCTCTGCCTTTAACAGTGTTTATTGTTTCAAGTATCCTGCTGATTAGGTCTCTGTGGATACACACCAGACAGATGCAAAATAATGCAAGTGGCTTCAGAGATCCCAGCTTAGAGGCCCATATTCGTGCCATTAAGTCACTCTTTTCCTTCCTTATCCTCTATGTTACAAATTTTATTTCTGTCTTTCTGATTTTATACAACATTTTTCCACCTTTAAGCCTTGGGGAAGCCATATGTACAGCTGTAATACCTGCCTGTCCTGCAGGACACTCTATGATCTTAATCTGGAGCAACCCCAAATTTCGAAAGGTGCCAGCTAGGATTTTGCAACACGCAAACTGTCACATCAGAACTAGATCCATGTGAAAGATGCTGGGCTAGCCTGGGCTTTCTAGTTTAGAAATTAGTCATTTATTTCTACGCAGGAATTCCTTCAGCCTTAGAAATAAATTACAGATTCCTGGAGAAATCACATATTTTGGCAGAGTCCAAAACTCAGCTCATTAGAACTGGAACTTTATGATCATTTTCAGTTGCTGTGGGAGTTTACATTCTTTTAAAATCATCATCACTAAGATCTATATGGCTTAAGCCTTGTGTCTACTACACCCATTTTGATTTAAAATATCCGATTTTGCTGTTGCCACAGTCAATCTGTTTGAAGTAATGTACTGTATGTAAACTGAGTTTGTGCTGGAATTATGTTTTTAAAAATATTTAAGAATACCAAGTTAAAGATTTCTGTTGGAGTCTTTCTTCTCCTTATGACACAAACTGTTCCACAGGTGACAGCAGTCCTTTCAGGCTTGCAGAAGAATTTTGTATGGCATTTAACAGAACTGGTGAAGATTCAGAATATGGCAATGAGACCACAACATGACATTTTCACCATCTGTAAAAAATGGTGGTTCCCAGCTTAGCACCATGAAACACACGTTGGGAGATTTGGTCTATTCTCTGCCCCTCCATGGTGTCGCCTCATTGGGGGATCTCTCTGACCACAGGAACAAGCAAGACATATGAGGTATGGTCAACCCATAAAACCTGTATTTTGCCCTGCTTCAGGCTGAGCTATAAGGTACATGGCTGCTCAGCAGGGATACCCTGAACAGCCTCTATCACACCATTTGCTTTACATTCCATTATTTCTTTTCCATTTCCCCCCTCACGAACAAACAATCTAACCACTTTCCTCAGTGGATATGAGATGTGAAAGAGATTCCTCTGCTATTTTTCAGACTCTTTAAGTGGATCTTCCCTCCAAAGCTTTCTTTGCATAGAGTTAAATAAAAAAGTTACCTGTGCATCAACATTCATTTTGGAACCTAAGAAGAAAACTAGACAGAAATACTGGAAGGCAACTTACAGTGTCAATATTCTGGTAGACCTTTATTTCTGTAACTGATCAGCTACCTAACTTGTTATATTAATAAAAATATCTTTAAAATGCATTTTATAAACAGCATACTAAATCCTTGTTGTTCTATTATTAAATAAGATTGATAAGCATTTGTTCTGGGGAAAAAAAACACATGTACTAGTAGGAAATTAATAGTTACTAGAGTTATGATTCTTGGATATCATATATTTTATCTAATAGTAAGCATTTTTCTCTTTTCTCTGTTTTGTTTGTAAGCTGGAAGTTGGCTTGATACCCACATCTTAAATTTAACTGCTTACAATCTGAAGAAAGTTTGAAATTCATCTTACCAGACCCTTCTAAAACATCCCAACTATTTCCACACACGCCAACACTACTCAGAGGCACTGGCAGCTCTCAAAACTGGTACAGTAAATCAAATCAGGAACAAGCAAAGTTCAAAGTTCATCCCATTCTAACACTAGTAGAATGAGATGATACAAATCATGTTGTCTTGTAGCTCTTTTCACTGAGGGTCCAACAACAAAATACAAAATTTTTCTAGGAAATTGCTCAAATGTAGCATAAAACAAAGATGCCAGCATTTGGAACAAAGCTCCTTTCCACCAAAGGTACTTTTCTGGATTTCTTTAATTTACTAGTTTAGTCAGAAGCTTTTCTTTTTGTCTGAGGAGCAAATTCCTTGTAAATGACTGCAATGTGATTTCTGTTTCCTGAAGAAATATTATAACATTGTAACATTATGACTACATTATAACGAGGTATATGGCATTTAGATTTCCTTTGTAGTGGACAGACAGAACAGTGCTTCTGTTATACTGCATGGGACTATGGACTATTGGACACTGATGAAGCCATACACAGAAAAGGCCCTGAACAAAATGGTTAAGAAAAGAGGTCACAGTCAGAACTTCAGTTTTGTGATAGTATCAGTATATTGAAGTAGCCTATACATGACTGGTAAATAATGAAATCCTTCATAATTAGAAATAATCATCACAGAGTAATTCAGAGAAAAAAAGGCAACAGCCCTTATTTGTTTTCTAAATCACTGTCTGGCCTCTTTTCCAAGTAATGAAACAGTAATTTGATTCTAGTCATTAGCTCAAGGCAATAAATGCAAAGATGTGCCGTGTAACTGACAGATCACTACAAGATCCTTCTCTGCTTTGCATACTCATAAGATGGATTTTTCATAACTGAAATTCTGGAAAACATGTTATGGACTCAATTTTCAATGCCCATCAGAACATGATTTTAAGAAACAGGAAAACCTATCAATAGCACACAGATACAGCTCATTCCTCACACACCCTCCTGAAATGAACACTATGTGTACACACCAATATATACATACACAGGGACATATTTGCAACCAGGCATCTTCTATGATGGTTCTTTACACCTCTGCATGTGCATGTAAAAATGGAATGCAGGACTTCAACATTAAATTGGACAGCTACTTAAACCAAAATACACCTTTAAAAAGGGCATGGTTTCTTCATTACACTTAATTTTCTTTCATCTTTGTGGGGCTTAATTTGTGGAGATACGGAAATGCAACTATTGCTCATGCCTAAAACAGTGTTTCTGATAAGGCAGGTTGCAGGAGTCTTGCACAAGTGAAGTTTTGCTGTTTATTTAGGCCAATTCACTGAGCTCTCTTTGTGTCCACCTTCTTACTTTTTACTTCAGCAGTGAAACCTCTTAGAACAGTATCTGTTGCATGAAGGGGAGTTCAAATGATGACACCTACACATAGCATTTGAATTATTTTCCTCTGTCCTATGAAATGGAATTCTTTATTTCTTTTTTTGACACCTGCAATGCTACACTAAGCTCAGGGATGAAAAACGGGATTTGCATTGAATTAAAGTACAGCATGGACAGAAATTCCAGTTTATTGTGATAGTATATGTGTTTGTGAAAGCCCATGAGCAATTAACATCAGTTCCTCCAAGAATGAAGGAAATTTCTGCTAAAAGGAGTTGTCATAAAAGCACAGTTTGTTGAAAAAGAGTCACAGTTAGTGTGTATCTTATATTCATATGGATTCATAAATCACTTATTTCAAAGGGAAGAAAAAGAGATCTGAATAGAAAATCTCATCTTTCCCAGTAAAAATCTTCATTTTAACACATCTCAGCTGTTCTGTGTGTGTGTGTGTGTGTGAAAAGCTGTCCTGAAAGTACATATTTTGCCAAACCCATTTTCTGCAGAAATCACATTTGTAAGGCTTACGAATTCAGGCTTCTTCACTGATATATAGACGCTCAGGTTTGAAAAGCTGAAGTGACAGACATCAGCCTTAATGGTATAAGAGGAATTAGCTACCACATTCTTTTCCAGCATTGTTTGAACAAAGCCTAAGAACATCCCACCGCATAAGTCATGAAGTAACTCACACTCTCTAAAGTGAGGAAAGAGTTGAAAGCGAAGACAAATGTGACACATACTAAGTCAAGGACAGAGACAGTAAAAGGGTCAGAGCAAAACTGAAGGAAAAAAGTAGACTATTGTGTGACTGGTTATGAGTAAAACAGACCAGCAATGCAAAGGGAATTAATTCATTAACTGATGAAACTTTCCTTCACCATCTGTATTGGTATTTTGTCAGCATTTGACTACATGTTTCTTCATCATTTTTGTTGGATGTCACCTGCCTCCTGGACAGGCAGAATCATCAAAGTCTTCACTGTTTGACACATTCCGTCCAGCCAGAGGCAGGAGCATAAGGACACATTATACATATGGCCTACATTGTTTCTCAATGGGTTGTGTCTTTTATGGCAAAACTGGCTCACTTTCTGAAAGAGAAGCAGAGGAGGCAGTATGTTCATACATGTTCCAGTTGCTAGAAGAACTACATAGCCTTTCTCAGGAAGCAAGAAAATAAGAGAAGGACATTGAGTTATAGAAAAATTTCACATACATATGGATTTTCCCCTGTATATTTGAAAACAATTGAGACTGTATTTTTGAGGAAGTCAGTTTATGTGTCTAACATTTCTTAGCAAAGTAGCTTAGTCTTATAGTTACATCATAAATGAGGCAGGATTTTGTATATTCCTGTGCTCATCAAACAGAAATGAGCCTCAAGGGTTAAGTGGATGTCTTGAAACTCCATACGTATTTTCTTATGTACTCAATATTTAATGAATAACTCCGTGTAAGGTAACTTTTCAAACTGTTTTGAAACTCCTTCGTACACTTATCATATAATTGTATAATTCTTTGGTTTGAATGTAAGGTTTTATAGTTTATACACTATATTTACATATTTACATACAGTTTCAGATATTTTATAGATAATTTCCGAAGATTGAATAATTTTAGATTTTGCATTTCTAAAGAAAACTTTTTATGATTAAACTGTGCTTGGTCCTGTAATTTTTTTCATGAAATAATACCATGCTATGGATTAAAGTGTTCTGCATCTCATATCCAAATTTGCAGGTATATGGTATCTGTGTGGATTCTTTGCAGACTATTTTTTCAAGGTTTCCTATTTTTTTCAAGGTTTCCTGACAACAGTGACTTTCCTGACAACAGAATTTTGAAAATTAGATGTCTGTTATATCTGCAGTTATCTGGTGTAGGTCATCTTTACTAACGGATTAATCAAAACACATCTGAACTGTGGTACGCACAGTATTGCTCTCTGACCACAGTAAGAACTCAGAGATACCAGGGTTACAGATACTATAGATAACTACGTATTTAGGAGAAAACTACACTAGAATTAACTTGAGAAACAGTATCACCAGTCTCATGTATGGGCATCATCGTGCAAGCAGGTTTGCTATTCTTGAGCAAAAGAATGAAAATTAACTTTTCTATGGTTATTGTTGCACTTCTTTGCGTTTTTGTGACCTGCCGGCAACAAATCATCCTAAACAAAGGTATTGTCAAATATAAAGACAAGTCCTTTTCACCTCTTTAGGAGAAACAAGCATGCTATTTCTACAAGCAAGAAGAGGACTTA